ATGATATTGTGGGGTACAGTTAAGGGTTAGGTATACAAATATGCTTTGTTCAGGTACCTTGTTGATAAGAGATGTCTCCCCATCAGATAACATTTTAAGCATACTCTGAAGTGCTCTATTCAGTGAACACAGAAGTGGAAGGCCAGATGCTGGAGAGATAATACAAAAGCAGGAGCTGGGCACGGTGGCTCTCGCCTGTAATCCCAGCCATCTGGGGGGCAGAGGCGAGAGGATTGCCTGAGGCCAGGGGTTTGAGATCAGCCAGGGCAACTTGGTGAGACCTCTACTCTACAAGTGAAAATAATTAGTCGGGCGTGGTGGCCCACGCCTGTGGTTCCAGCTACTTGGAAGGCCGAGGTGGAAGGATTACCTGAGCCCAGCAGGTCAAGGCTGCGGTGGCTGTGAGTGTACCCCTGCATTCCAGCCTGGGCGACAGAGTGAGACTCCGACTCAACAAAAAAAGTAGAATCACTAGTGTGGCGTGGGAGGGAGCAGCAGTGTTGCTATCCTGGGTGACTTGAGGTCACTGGGAAGTGCAGCAAGGGACAGATGAGAGGTTCAAGAGGCAGCTGGAAAGACATGTTGTCAGTCTTAAGAGAGGAAGCCTGGGCTGGGGACAGGCTGAAGCATCAATGCGAACAGTCAGTGGCTGAGCTTACCCGGGAGAGCGTGTGGCCTGGCCGGAGTGGAGAGTCCTAAGATGAAATCCTGGGGTTGCAGGCAGAAGAGCCAGAGTATGAGACGGAAAAGCAGAGACAGGAGTGAGACCAGGTGAGGACAGTGTCTTGGAAACCACGTCCTGAAGCAGATCCAGTCGTGAGTAGTGTTCAGGTGCAAATGCTCTAAGATCAAGTGAGAGAAAGTTGAAAATGAACTGCAAGAAAACCAGAAAAACAAAAATGAGCCAGGTGTGGTGGCTCACGCCTGTCATGCCAGCACTTTGGGAGCTGGAGGCGAGAGGACTGCCTGAGCCCATGGGTTTGAGAACAGCCTGGGCAACTTGGCGAGACTTCATCTCTACAATAAATCAAAATAATTAATGGGAGTAGTGGCATGTGCCTGTGGTTCCAGCTACCTGAAAGGCTGAGGCTGCGGTAGCCGTGAGCGGCGTGTCACTGCTCTCCAGCCTGGGCGGCACAGAGGGAGACTCAACTCAAACACAAACAAACAAAACTGATTAAGCATGAGGGAGTCATTGATGACCCTGGCGAGAGCAGCAGTGGGGGCACGAGCTGATGAGTGCCACGTTGGCGCTGTGGGGATGGCAGGACTTCGGAGGGCTCTCCCACGGTGCTCAGCTTCGGGGAGTAAGGGCACAGCATCATGGGTGGGGGAGGGGGCAGGCGATGTTTGGGAGGGTGGTGGAGACTGGAATGCTTGCAGGCCAGTTGTTTCCAAGCTTTAGTCTCCATCAGCATCACCTGACGGGCTTGCTACAAGTCAGGTTGCTGGCCTCACCTGAGAGTGGTTTTTGTTTCGTTGTTTAAGTTGGGGTCTCACTCTGCTGCCTAAGCTGGAGTAGAGTAGTGAGATCCTGGCTCACTGCGGCCTCCACCTTCGGGGCCAGGCGATCCTTCTGCTCAGCCTCTTGAGTAGCTGGGACTACAGGTGCATGCCACCACGCCTGGCTTACTTTTTTTTTTTTGAGTTGGAGTCTCACTCTGTCGCCCAGACTGGAGAGCAGCGGCCGCTCCCGGCCACCGCAGCCTCGACCTGCTGGGCTCCGGCGATCCTTCCGCCTCCGCCTTCCAAGTAGCTGGAATTACATCCGCGCGCTACCATGCCCGGCTGATTTTTTGGTTTATTGTAGAGATGAGGTCTCGCTGCCCGGGCAATCCACTCACCTCAGCCTCCCAAAGGCGCAGGATGACAGGCTGAGCCACCGAGCCCGGCTATGCCTTTTCTTTGAGTTGGAATGTCATTCTGTCATCCAGGCTGGAGAGCAGTAGCATTCTCATGGCATCCTTCTGCTTTAACCTTCTAAGTAGCTGGAACCATAGGTGTGTGGCCAGTCTGTCTCTACCTCCCTCCCTCCCATCCATCCATCCACCCCTCCATCCATCCAGCGAGAAAAGGTCCCACCAGTTGCTCAGGCATTCCTCTCGCCTGTCTCCCAAAGAACTGGGATTACAGGTCCCTGTCATCTCTCCTGGCCTGGCCACATTCTTTCCTTTCATCACATGTTCAAGAACGTCTGGGACTCCTCAGTTACCTAAGACTCTTGCTCCCGATTGTCTACTGGTCACAACATGAGTTCAGTGACAGAAAAGGTCCATGTTTAATTGTACAGCCTAGAATGGAAAATTGGAAGTAGAGTCCTCCCCGTTTAAAATGTATGTTGAATGCGATTCTCTTGTCAGGCACGCACGCTATCATTCATTCAAGCCTATCACATGCCAGACAGGTTTCTTGTTACATTGTTTTAGTAGGGCTGGATCCAACTTGGCATTTTGGGAACTAATCTTAAGAAAAATAATACAAAACTACAAATACAGAATCCCCAGGGCCCTCCCACGGCCTTGTGCAAGTCAGAGGTCCAAGAGTTGATGCTTAGTGGCAAACCTGTCTGTCTCTCTGTTCAGTTTCTTCCTTCGACTGAGACCACACTTTTCTCTAGCTTTGTTTCCAAGGCAACTCCTCCCCACTCCATCCTCCCAAAGTCCAAGCTTGTCCTCCAGCTGCCTAGAAAACACTTATTGACTGCTATAGCAGAAACGGGCAAGCTATGATCTCTCGACTTAAAGAAGCAAGCCCTTTTAAACTTCTTTTAAATTTAGTTCCTCCGTGCTATTAGGTCCCTGTATGTAATTCAAGGTTTCTATAGTCAGATTTTTTGATTATCAAATTGTTCCCTTGCTCAGGAATTAACCGCTATCGAGCATATCTGTCCATCTTCACAAACTTATTACTAGACTCTCTCTAGCTCTGAAATAAGTATTTCACACGTTTTCAAATATGCCAGAGTACAAAATGATTTGTTTTATATTTTTTACTTTTATCTGGCATGAAATTTGAATTTTGTTAAGATCCAGCCTATCTAAATTGGTAACTAAGTTCATCCCTTTCAGGTGTGACATTTTGGACCTTTCAGGAATCCGGCCACATACTATCATCAGCATTCCTGAATACTTTTGTTCTGAACTAGATTTTGAAATGCCCCCAAAATGAAGTGGGTTACTTTTCATATTTCTGATTCCTAAGGCTGGCTGTGATGTCCTGTTTCATCTTGAAATATACAATATACCTACTAGAAAATGTTTAATTAAATTCTCAGAAACCATTTTATAGTAGAACATCAACATTTTCTGGATAGATGAGAGCTTTTATATTACATTTTTATTTTGCAAGAAAATAAATTATACAACTTAAAAAATAAAATCCCCAAATTAAGCAGTTCATCAAAATAGTTCCGCCTACTGCAGACAGAAACTGCTACCATTGAAAATTGTACAGCATCGTCATCTCAGTATGTAGTGGCACACATTCAGAATCATCTAGACCATGAGGATAGGTTGCAACTCGGGAACTCAAATTTGTTCAACACTCCAGACGACATACAGTGTAGATGACAGGAAAGCTCTCATGTAATGTTTATTTCACAAACATGATCTTGGAAGAATTGATAAGACAGCATCCCAGTCATTTACATGAAAATAGAAAAACCAGCTTGAGTTTAAGATAGCAAGTCTCTCTGTAAAACTAGCAAATCTTTCACCCAGATTGACGGTTAAAATTTGCCCTTTGAGCAGGGCTAATGACATCCTACTGCAAATAATGCAAAATACCTGTCAACTCTTCAGGTCATACTCTGTATTAAATTTGATTAAAAAGTAAAAGTAAGAAAGCTAATATTTCGTTTTTGGAAATTTTAACACTTATGCACACAAATAAGAGCAAGAGACTTAAACAAGTTGACAGAACTAAGGGACCCCACCAATAAATGTAAAAATTGGAAGACTTCAGAATTTATTTCAAGATTCTCATTCAGTCACTGGAGCGGTCATGCTCTAATATTTATCTCAGTGTAAGCATTAGAACTGTTCTAGGTTTTCGCTTGGTAGAGTTTGTTTCAAGTCTACTTACTCTGGCAATGAAATGGCAACAAAGGTTAATGTTTTCCAGATGTCTGAATCTTTAAATTAAAAGACGAGTGGTAAAAGCTTAAGGTAACCTCTGAAGCATCCTTTTGCCGTAATACCAATTAAAAAAAAAATTATATATATATTTGGGGGCTGGGTTTTCTTTTCGCTCAACTGTGTCAGGCTTCACCCTGCTCAGCACTGATTTTAAGTGCACACTGGAGAAGAGAGACCTGATAAAGGGCACTAACTCATTCTGCACCTTCAGCAAATTGCTAGTAAGAATTCTTTTTACATTAGCAAATCTACTGTCAAAATACTTAAAGAAAATTCATCAACGGTATAGGCACCTTGTCAGCTAAATGGTTTTCATAAATGCCAGAAAGTAGTTAAATTTTTGTGTATATAACCAACAAAATGATGAAAACTGTAAGTTTACGGTATTTGCTGCTGTTCAATCCCCAAAATACAATTAGGACATAATTAGCTATTAAAAACTTTATAAAATTTAATAGAAAACTTGCTATGAATTCAGTGTTACCCACTTTTGCATTAAATTTGCCTTTATAAATCAAAACATCATGGCTCTCATTCTTAAATTAAATTACCAAAAATATTACAAATTCCAAAAATTTTCTGAGAACAATTGGGGTTTAAAACAACAAACCCTACATTTTGAAAAAGCGGCCTGTAATTTTTCCTCCCATTGTTTCCTCCTTTGGCATTCTTCTGTTGGGACAAGCAAATATGCCAATACCATATTATGGATTAAACACAGGGGCCACAATTACTACAAAATTATTTCTTCTAAATTTCAAATTGATCCATTGTTAGCCATCACCTAGTTAGAGAAAACGGTGAGAACTAATTTTAGTTTAATCCTTCACATTGGTCTAATAATTGATGTATGCTACTTAAAGATGAAGTGTAAGACTTTATAAACAAAATTCCAATTTCCTATGAGTTTCAGAAAGGCATTTGACTATAATCAGCAAAATTTTAAATTTGCTTTCCTTCTTGTCAGCTCACAAAAGGCTCTTGGGCCTGGGGACAGATTCCACGAAATGCTCTTAAAAGCACTCCAGAACATAAGACTATATGCCTTTCTGCACTTCATTCCCTTCAGCCCTCAAAACCATACTTTAAAAATATCACTTAACATTAAACAAGATATAAAATAGTTTACAAGATAATTTAGAACATGCATCACAATCAATAAAAATCCACATCGAGCCGTTCTTCCCAATAGGGAATACATTTTTCTCTTTTAAGTTGTTGAGTCCTCAAGTCCTAAAATTTCTACTACTCTGGGTGTTCAGTTGCCAGCAACTCACAAGTTGCTACTTTGGATTGACTGAAAGGAACATGGTAAGTGTTGCTTTCTGAATGCTTTAAAAATGTTTACTTTTAAAATATATAAATATATATGTACATATATTTGGCAAGTTTATTGTTCATATTAAGATTGCAACAATTTTGCTTATACTTTTCAGGTCTTATTTTGTGATTTTCTCTTCCTCCTAGGTGACTGATACTTTATTATTATTTTTTAAAAGGAGAATATCTTTCTTTTCAGAAACCTGAGGCTATTAAATCCTTATATCATGAGACTTAAAAATACCAAAATAATTCTATGCTACAGATTAAGAGATCAGTTACATAACTGTATTGTATCAGAGCAGGAAAGTTCTGCACTGTTTTGAATAAATTTAGATATGGCATAAATCTTATGTATACAAATAGTAGGTTTTTAGTAAACACGCTTACCGTGTTTATTTTGCCATTTTGACTCTGTGATCATAACGACCTATCTCCATACTTTTTTTAAAACAATTGAAGCACAAATTAATATACGCTTCACTTTTTCAAACCAAACTCTCCAGCCATGTAAGATAAAAAAACAACAAAACCCCAACTCCTTATCATTTAACAACAACAACAAAAAAACAACTAAAGCAGCAATCTCCTGCTTAAAAAAACCAACATTTGTAAGTTGGAAATATTTAATACCATTTTTAGGTCACCATTAATATCCAGTTTGTATTAGTTACTTTTGTGTTGCTATGAAGGAATACCTGAGGCTGGGTACTTTTTATAAAGAACGGAGGTCTGTTTTGGCTCACGATCCTGCATGGCGCTGGCATCTGCTTTTGATGAGGGCCTCAGGAAGCTTATAATCATGGCAGAAGGTGAAGAGAGCCAGCGTGTCACATGGAGAGAGTGGAAGCGAGAAACAGAGGAGGTGCCAGGCTCTTCTAAGCAACCAACTCTCGCGTAAACACAGAGAGCAGGAGCAGGAACTCACTCACTGCCTCGAGCACCCGAGCACCGCGCCAGGCCAGTCTTGAGGGATCTGCCCCGGGACCCAAGTGCCTCCCACCAGGCCCCGCCTCCAAGACCAGAAATCACATTTCAGCAAGAGATTTGGCAGGGACAACATCCAAACCATATCACAGTTATTATGTTGAAGCAGTGTTTGAACAAATGATCGGATACTATTATCTTCTCACCTGCATCTGCCCTCTCCCAGCGTTGCGCTGACCAGCTCACTCTTTTCATCGAAAGAAACCAAGAGTGCTATTTCTAGTTTTAATTGCATTTTTAAAAAAACCAAAGATAACAGCATTTTTCAGTGCACGAATATCTGAAGATCCTTCCTTGTGCAAGTACATTTTTTTAAAGAGAGGAAAAAAGAGAAAAAAGCAACAAGAACCCGCCCTCGCCCTTCCCAGCTGTATTTCTCCTGGTGGGTATAAATCAAATTGACTTGTAAAAGTTCCTAATGGGCTCTTCATGAATGCAAGTTTCTCCACAAAACAGCATGCTGTTACAGAGTGTGCAACATGAAGGGAATGCCACCATGCTACCTAACGTGATTGGTGAAATAGAGCTGTTTTTGTAGGTAAGGCAGAGATTTTAATATCTATGTAATCAAAGTCCAAATAAATCTTTCTCCAGCACAAACTGTCACAACCTTCCGCCCCAGCACGCCCCAGTGTGGGCTCCTGACACTGCTGCGACCTTCTCGGTCACGCCATGTAGATGAAGGTATTGATGTCGGCTTCGTCCCTCCGGATGTACTTGTGTTCTATCAGCCACTCTATCTGCTCTTTGATCATTTTCTTCTGTGGCAAGAACATGTTTTTCAAAATTTCTACTAATTCAGTCTGCAGCTGAGCATTACTAATTTTCTTTCTCATTTTCATTATTTGTATGATAGCTTCCTGAAAGAAAAAAAACAAAAATGAAAGATTAATATATTAAGTCCAACAAAATGAAAAATGACTTTTTTATGTATTACATTCTCTGTGGAACATCTACCCAAATCACAGATTAATCTCAAGAACAACTTCTTTTTCTTTACAAATAAAAATATCTTTTTTTTTTTTAACTCCTCACAAGAGAAAACCTGAATAGGCCGGGCACGGTGGCTCACGTCCATAGTCCCAGCAGTTTGGGAAGCTGAGATGACAGGATTGCCTGAGCCCACATCTCCACAATAAATAAAAAAATCAGCAGGGAATGGTGGCACATGCCTGTAGCTCCAGCTTCTTGGAAGGCTGAGGTGGAAGGATCACCTGAGCCCAGCAGGTCGAAGCTTCAGTGGCCGTGAGCATGCCACCGCACTCTAGCATGGGTGACAGAGTGAGATTCCGACTTAGAAAAAAAAAAGAAAGGAGGAAAGAAAATCTGATTATAGTGACTTTGAAAAATAAGAAAAAGCAAAACTACTCATAACCTATCTGAAAAAAATACTACACTTACTGTTTTAATGTATTTCTTTCAATTTCTTTCTTCCATACCATGTACTTCCTTAAAATTTATCTTACCTGTGAACACAGTATATATATAATCTGGTATTGTGTTAAAACTGAATTAAGATACAACAAACCCATTACATGCAATTTTTCTGTCTGAATTATTACTCCCATATTTCTTTTTTTTCTTTGAGTTGGAGTCTCACTCTGTTGCCTAGGCTGGAGTGCAGTGGCATGCTCACAGCCACCCCAACAGTGAGCTGCTGAGCTCAGGTGATCCTTCCATCTCAGCCTTGCAAGTAGTCAGAACTATAGGAGCACTATCACAACCGGCTAATTTTTTGATTTATTGTAGAGATAAGTTTTCACCAAGTTGCCCAGACTGCTCTCAAACCTGTAGGCTCAGGCAATCCCCTCACCTCAGTCTCCCAAAGTGCTGGGATTACAGGCTTGAGCCACTGCACTCAGCAGTATTTCTTTATGTAGTAGTAGAGGCCAGTTCATATCTGTTTGAAAAATCAATAAGTACTACTCTTTATTTATTCACCAGGTCAATCAATTATATTTGCTATAAATATTATCTTCAGTTTGTATTAATGCAAATATCTTTAACTTTCTAAAGAAATGAATACTTTTCACCTAAGTCAATTTTATCCCTTGATGATTTCTCTATTACTGTTAAGCTTACAATAGGAGCGATATAGAAATTATTAAATATTCTTTTCTCTTTAAACTTTTCCAATACAAACCCTTTATTTAGCCAACAAAAGACTGTCTGGATCAGCAGAGATTAGAATTTGTTATGTAAGAAACACGAAAAAGAAAAAAAGTAACATTTGCTTTAATATTTCAGATGGAATTGTGCCACAAGTCAACGGGCTTGGGAGTCAGGCACGATCCAGCAAGAAGAAATTCCTTCAACTTCCCTGTACAGCTACGATGCCCTCTTAAATCATGCTAGAAGGTGAAGCGAGTTCCTCTCAGCCTCAGTATATTCTGACATCAGGCTTTTGACCACAGAACATCACTTGGGGTTTATGTCAGGGGTCCAGATGGAAAGGAGGAAACATCTGTGCCTTCAGCACTTGAAGACTACAGCAGCCAGGGAGGAAAAGGACATCTGTGAATGTCCCAATCTCTTTTCTTTTAGCTTTGGTAGAGGTGGTGGTTGTGTTAGAGAAGCTGAGAGTACGACAGAGGGTGGAGGGCGCAGGCCCAGGTCCCCTCTGCTATGTGGGAGGCGGTCGCTTAAAAGTGGAAACAGTCTGCGCTTCCATATCTCCCTCGGGTCCCACAAGTCACAGATGGAGTTTAGAGCTAAAGCCTTCCATGGGGCCTTCAGTGGCAGGGCTGGGATCCTGCAAGAGCAGACGGTAATGGCAGTGTGCCTCACAGAGGGCGTGGCAGAGTCAGAGGGTTCCAGAGTCCAGTAAGAGCAGGGGAAGGCAGAGGCAGGCAGAGCAGGGAAGAGGCCACGTGGCCCTCACCAGTGGGAAAAAGAACAAACGGTAAGTTCATCTGCTACTGACAACATCAATGGACTCCAACAGAAAGCCAAATGTCTAGAGGTGACAGCTGAACCTCTCCATAGCTGTCGAGAGCAAGACCCCAGGACAGTCCCAAGTAACAGATGGGATGATCCCTTCACTGTCACTACCAGGTCAAGCAAACACCTTTCATGCTCAATATACCCAGATGGCATCTATGAAAACAGCCAACACCAGGGAGAGAGTAGGACCAGAAGGAAATAAGAAAGTCTGAGCACTACCCAGAGACAGCTCAAATGACTGGATGGGGCAAAATTATGGAGCAGGTTCAGACAGAACAAAGGAACTCCAAGCTCTCCATACATCTTACAGTGTGACTCCACCTGCCACCTACCCATTACACATGTCAACTCTTTCATCCATCTGGATTTTATCCCGGCACAGTAGTCAACTATGAACATATCCTGATTGTCCCCCCAACAAGAACAATGCCCAGTACCTATCGTTCCCTTTCCACGGGGTATGGAAGTTATTTCCTTTATTGCTCAAGTTCATCAAAACGTATAGAGCAGGTTTAATTCTGGTTGTTTTCTTCAGGTAATCTTCTTGCCATACTGTTTCATTTTTGTAGATATTGTAATGCACTTTAATATTTGGCATGAAGTTGGGCGTAGTGGCGCACGCCTGTAATCCCAGCAGTTTGGGAGGCTGAGGTGAGAGGAGATTGCCAGGTGTGGTAGCACACACCTGTAGTCCCAATTCTTTGGGAGGCTGAGGTGTAAGGACCGCTTGAGCCCAGCAGGTTGAGGCTGCTGTGGCCATAAGCATGCCACTGCACCCATCTTGGGTGACAGAGTGAGACTCTGAATCAAAAAAATAAAAAAGTAAAAAAGCTCTATAATTTTATGGTTTCTTGTTTCATTTTCCCCTTAACTCTTTAATAATAATAATAAACAATTTGCAATCGCAGTAGCTGGGATTACAAGCATGCATCACCACCATACTTGTCTAACTTTTTTATATTTTTGGCGATGAGGTCTCGATATGTTGTCCACAACAGTCTCAAACTCCTGGCCTCAAGCAGTCCTCCCATCTCCACCTCCCAAAGTGATGGGGTTACAGGCATGAGCCACTGAACCCAGCCTAGCCTAAACTATTTTTAAAGGAAGAAATGAGTATTAGAGAACTTCTCTGGTTCTTAATAAGTTTCCTAATTTCACATTACAATAGAATTAAAAGTTGTGAAATTAAATACGATTTAAAATACTTCAATCTACAGTTGTAATTTGTTGCTGAGATACATTTATTCAGGTGGGGTCAAAAGGAGACAAAACCTGAAGTCAAGGTTTTGCTCAACCAAGAAATTAGAATCTACTGAGGGCCAAAGCCACACAGACATCGATTTCAGCAGCTAAAACATTTCCATCAATATGATTTTTAAACTAATTTTGAAAATTAGCCTTTTCTTTAAAAACAGGCTAAATACCTACATGCTTTTAAATTCAAAAAAAGGTTTGAAGAAAAAAAAAAAAAAAAAACCAACCGACACAATTTAGACCCTCTGTCAGCATGACCAACCTGGGTTCTTAATATTCTCAGTTGAACGATTCCTTCATTCTCTTCTTCCCTCATCCTTTCTGTAGTAAGCTGCAAGCGTCCAATCAAGTTGATTTTACCTCTTTTCTGAACTTTTGCGTTTTTTCTATTAAAAAAGGGAATCATATATTTTACAGTGAAAAGACTTTAAACATCATATATTACAGCAGTGATGTCTGAGATAAAAGATTAAGAAATAGGCGAACAATTAGTATCCAGAATTGTTTAAAGGAAAAATGACAAATAACCAACACACAGCTCTAAAATAAACTCTAGGATTTCCTGTAAGCATGACCTAATAACCTCCGTCAAAATACGAGAGACTGCACTCTGTGATAACAAAATTAATATAATTTATATTGTCACAAAAGTTATTCGCTAAAGATATATGGGTTGTGATTCAACATTATCTAATTAGATCTTGAGAAAAAAATGCTTTGCCTGGCTAAAGTTGCTTCAGCGTGCAAAAGGATATTCGCTCTAAAAATGAAATATAATATATCAAGAAAATATCCAAGAAAAATATGGTAAAAAAATAAACATCCAAGCCAGGCTCGGTGGCTCAGCCTGTAATCCCATGCCTTTGGGAGGCTGAGGTGAGTGGATTGCCTGAGCCTGCGGGTCTGAGACCTGCCTGGGCAAGCGAGACCTCATCTCCACAATAAATCAAAAAATTAGCCGGAGCTGGGCTCGGTGGCTCAGTCTGTAATCCCGCGCCTTTGGGAGGCTGAGGTGAGTGGACTGCCTGAGCACGTGGGTTCGAGACCCGCCTGGGCAGCGAGACCTCATCTCTACAAAAAAATCAAAAAATCAGCCAGGCGTGGTAGCGCATGCCTGTAATTCCGGCTACTTGGAAGACTGAGGCGGAAGGATTGCTGGAGCCCAGCAGTTCAAGGCTGCGGTGGCTGGGAGCAGCCACTGCACTCCAGTCTGGGTGACAGAGTGAGACTCCAACTCAAAAAAAAAAAAAAAATTAGCTGGGCGTGATAGCGCACGCCTGTAGTTCCAGCTACTTGGAAGGCTGAAGTGGAAGGATCGCCAGAGCCCAGCAGGTCGAGGCTGTGGCGCCGGGAGCAGCCACTGCACTCCAGTCTGGGCGACAGAGTGAGACTCCAACTCAAAAAAAAAAAAAAAAAAAGAGATAAACATCTCTAGTTCATTAGTATTTTCCTCTTTGTAGAGATGGGGCTATTTTGCTCAGGCTGGTTTTTGAACTACTGGCCTCAAGCAATCCTCCTGTCTTGGCCTCCCAAAGTGCTGGGATTACAGGCATAAACCACTATGCCCGGCCTCCTTAATATTTTCCATAAGCAACTAAATGACAAAATTTAGAGTGATGACAGCATACAGTTGTTTTAAATATCATGTAAGGAAAAAAATTTTTTGCTAAAAACTAAGCACTTAAATTCAAACAAGGTATTTTTATTTTAGATCAACCAACATTAAGCTTACATTAAACTGAACTCCTGATTCACTGAGAAGAGGGTACCTTCTGTGAAGTCTTTGGGTGAGTTGACTTGAGGTTCATACAACAAAACTTGCCGTTTGAGCTTTGGGAAAGCCACTAAAGACTATGAAGAATAGAGAGAAAGCAGTTAGCACCTAGAAACAGTCTGGAACACTGGGACCCGCTCTCCAATGTAACCAACACAGGCGAAAAAGGGTCCTCAACACAAATTCGGAAGACTTATGTGGTACTTCCATGACTATAACCATATAAATGCGTAATGAGGAAAGAGAGAAAGAGGACCAATGAGTTGGTTATGATGAAGCAATAAACGCTTTCTTGACAGTAAGACAAGAAATATGGTTACATAGTACCACAGCAAACACCACCTGCCTGCTATATGCCAGCTGTTTATCCCTCAGGTAATTATTTGGAGACTTTTTTTTAAAGCTGGGGTCTCACTCTGTCTCAGACTGGAATGCAGTGGGGCACAATCACCGTTTGCTACAGCCTCGACCTCCTGGGCTAAAGTGATTCCTCTGCCTCAGCTTCCCAAGTAGCTGGGACTACAGATGTATGCCATCATGCTAAGCTGATGTTTTAATTTTTTTTGTAGAGATGGGGTCTTGCTGTGTTGCCCAGGCTGGTCTCGAATTCCTGGGCTCAGTCTTCCCACCTCAGCCCCCCAAAGAACTGGGATTATAAGCACGAGCCACCACGCCTGGGCTTCATCTAGAATTTTTAAGAATTTCAGAGTAGGGTAAAATGTGGTTACCAGCAACAGGTAATGAGTACACTTTCCAAGTTCTCAAGAAGATCAAAGTTTTCTAACTCTTATGGTCATCATAAAATCTTTGAACACATTTTCAGTATAAAAATTAAGTACATCACTGGTCACATTCCTCACATGTAACATTTAAATATCAACTCAATCTTTTTCTCCTCTTTTGGGGAGGCCATCTCTGTTTTGACAGCTTGACTGTTTTCAATTTCTTTTTTCCATAAATACCTCAGTGGTGTGTTTTTTTTTTTTTTGCTTAGAAGTCATTTTGAGACTGTAATAAGTTCAAAAAATTATTACCAGCCAATTACATATTTCCTGCCATGTGAGAGGACACAATTTTAAAAATGAAAAACACAAAACAAACCAACCCATAAAGTCCTTCTAAGTTCAGCATCAGGGAGCTCAGTTGCGAGCTTTAGATTTTCAAAGCTGATTTTCTCTCTGGGTCTTTGGTTCCATGCAAACAACACAGCCAGCTGAAACGTGGTTACCTCCAGATCATACTGACCTACTTCATTCTTAAATGTTATCTATAAGAGATAAAATAGATTTTTAATAAGTAAGAATCCCCTCGTGACTATTGCCACTTCTCTAACATAGTATCTATGACATGAGTTTACAAGGGCACCCCTCGGAGGACAGGCTTCCCCCACCAGGTGAGTGTTCTAGGAACCCATTGGCATCAGCGCACCAGCTGGTGTGGTTGTGAGAGGCTTGTTCGACTTCAGTGGGTGCTTTTTTTGGGAGATTCTTTCATCCCGTTTGCCTGTTTCACGATGGGGGATTTACCAGGGCACCTGGCCACGCTGCAGTGTGTTCAGCAGTTTTCGGCCAAAGCAGCATGACCTCCATGCCCCGCCCTCCCTATTCACCCGATCTTGCCTCAGCTTTTTTATTTCCACATGAAAAGTCCTCAAAGGGAAACGTTCTGCCGATGTGGAATAGGTGAAACAAAAAACGGCAGAAATGCTCAAAGGCATCAAAATTGACGCGTTCAAAAACCGTTTTCACAGTGAAAAAGTGTCTCAATAGGTGTCTTGCATCAAATGGCGAGTACCTTAAAGGTAACTGAAGTTTAAACACGTAAGAATAAATACACACACAATTTTTTTTTTTTTTTTTTTTTGAGTTGGAGTCTCACTCTGTCGCCCAGACTGGAGTGCAGTGGCCGCTCCTGGCCACCGCAGCCTCGCCTGCTGGGCTCCGGCGATCCTTCTGCCTCAGCCTTCCAAGTAGCCAGAATTACAGGCATGCACTACCACGCCCGGCTGATATTTTTATTTATTGTAGAGATGAGGTCTTGCTGCCCAGGCAGGTCTCGAACCCGCGGGCGCAGGCAATCCACTCACCTCAGCCTCCCAAAGGCAGGGGATTACAGGCTGAGCCACCGAGCCTGGCTTACACACACAATTTTATAAATAAATTCCATTTCTTGGGGTTCCCTCCCTTGAATATGTAAAAAAGACTGCTAGCTGTCTTCCAATATCTATTCTTTCTTTTCTTTCATGGTAATAAAGATTTTAGCAGACTTTAATGACTGCCCAGAATACAGGCTCATCTTCCAGCTTTCCTTGTAACAAAATGAGGCCAGGTGACTGATTTCTGGCCAAAGTGACACAAGTTGCCTTAAAGAAAGGTACAACCTATCCTCTCCTGTCCCTTCCTGTTGACAGGAAGACTAGCAGAGATGACAGTGGATTCTGCAGACAAGGGCAATACCTTTCAAGCATGCCTGTATCCCTAACAACCTTGTGAAACAGATACACATTCCTGTTCACACTTTTACATGTGAGAGGCAAACATCTATTTTAAGTAACTCTTATTTAGAAGCCTACTTTCACCCAAACTGACAACTGAACTAACACATCATGTACTTACAATTCCATTTGACATGAGATGATGCCAATGTAATTTTCTACCACTGTGATTTTTTTTGTAGAATTCTTCTACTTCAGGTATCAAGTCCTCCAGTTCGGTAGGAAGTGAGACAAAGACTTTCTCAGAACTTCTTGACCAGGCACCAGCATTCAGAATTTTTATATTAACTGAATCGGCTAAAATCAAGAAAGTTAGGAAATATAAATTATCTTGACAATGGATAAAATTCATAATAAATAACAGAGTAAGTTTTTGGCGAAAAATAAGACTTATAAAGATTTTATGTTGTCCTTTTGTTTCAAAATAATGACTTGTAAATCTAATATTCTGCTTTGATAGCTGTTTCCAAGGAATGTGGACTTCATAATATCTTTGGCTCTATTACCGCTGACATTTATTTTGAATTTACTGGAAAACAAAGGTATTCTTTTATTAAAGTTTAAAATATGTACACATATGAAATGATAAAATAATACCTGGTAAAGCCAATTTATTATTTTTATGCATTTCCTTAAAGGCCTGGTTCAAATCTTCAGATACTTTTATGTCCTGAAACATTCTAGCAAGCTTGTTTACATAATCTGCTGGCATACCAACTTCCTACAAAAACCAAAGACAGAAGAGTTAATAAGTGCATAATCTGACATACTACTAGAAAAAATGTTAAAGGAATATGAAGTATTAGATGCTTTAATATAATATTTTCCCCTTCTCTTATTTATTAGAATGTTTACAGTCTAATACCTATTAAACCTGATTCTTTGAAACAGGACAGTACAAGGTCCCTGCTTTGCACAATTCCATTGGGCCTGAATTTCAGTTCTCACAGCATAGTTAAAAAATATCAACTCCCCAACTAACTTTGGTTCTATACCCTCAAGCCACAAATTATTACAAAAATAAGTGACCAATCACAATATTTCTTCCGAAATTGATTAGTCATGTTTACCCTACTCATCCACAGACAGCTAAGTATACAGTTCCTTTGCCATCCTTGCCTTCCAGTGATAAACCCATATGACAACTTATAAAAATGAATGATCAAACAAGGTAACTGGCCAAAAAAGATAATAAAAGTACACCAAAGAAATAAAAAGTGACAGTGCTGGAGATGAAAATAAAATAGAACATAAATGGCGTTACAGAAGACAGTTGACTGTGGCTGTTCAAATTACTCTTCCTTTTAAGAACAGCCTTATTGAGATATATAATTTATCTACTATGAAATTAATCCTTTTAAAGGACACAATTTAAGCCAGGCTCGGTGGCTCAGCCTGTAGTCCTGTGCTTTGGCAGGCTGAGGTGAGCGGATCGCCTGAGCCCACGGATTCGAGACCCGCCTGGGCAACTTGGCGAGACCTCATCTCTACAATAAACCAAAAAATTAGCCGGGCGTGGTAGCGCGCGCCTGTAGTTCCAGCTCCTTGGAAGGCTGAGGCGGAAGGATCGCCAGAGTCCAGCAGGTCAAGGCTGCGGTGGCTGGGAGCGTGCCACTGCACTCCAGTCTGGGCGACAGTGAGACTCCAACTCAAAAAATAAATAAATAAAGGGCACAATTTAAGCCAGGTGCAGTGGCTCACATCTGTAATGCCAGCACTTTGGGAGGTGAAAGCGAGAGGACTGCCTGAGCTCACGGGTTAGAGACCAACCTGGGCAACATGGAGAGACCTTGTTTCAACAACAAATAAAAAAATTAGCTGGGTGTGGTGGTGCACGCCTGTAGTTCTAGCTACTTGGAAGGATCACCTGAGCCCAGCAGGTAGAGGCTGTGGTGGTTGTGGGTCTGCCACTGCACTCTAACCTGGGAGACAGAGACTCTGACTTTAAAAGGAAAAAAAAGTGCACAATTTAATAAATTTTAGTATATTCACAGAGCTGTGTAACCATCACCACTATCTAATTTTAGACCATTTGTGTTACCCCCAAAAGAAACCCCGTATCTATTTGCACGCACTCCCCATTTCCCTCCTGACCCAGCTCCTGGAAATTCCTCATCTCCCTTCTGTCTCTATGGATTCATCTGTTCTGGACATTTCAAGTTAGTGGAATCAGATGCTAGGTGGCCTTTTGTGACTGGTTTCTTTCACTTCACATTCTAATGTCTTCAAAGTGCATCCACACTGTAGCATGTACACATACTACATTTCTTTTTATTGCCAAATAATATTCCATTGTATAAATAAATCACATTTTGCTTATTACTTCGACATTTTAGATTGTTTACTTTTTGACTATTATAAATGATGCTGCCTTCAACACTTGTTTACAAGTTTTACATAAACTTATGTTTCTTTCTCTAAGTGGAGTTACCTAGGTTTGAAATCAACTGTGCTTAACTTCTTAAAGAACTGCCCAACTGTTTCCCAAAGTGGCTACACCATTATATATCCCCACTAGCAACTTTTGAAGGTTCCATTTCCTCTCTTCCTCAGCAACACGTGCAGCTGTCTTTTTAGTTTAGTTATCCTAGTGGGAGGAAAGTAGCATGTCCTTGTGAAGGATGCTGAGCATCTCTGCATGCATATACTGGCCATTTGTATACCTTCTGTGAAGAGATGTCTACTCAAATCCTTTGCTTATTTTATTTTATTTTTTGAGTTGGAGTCTCACTCTGTCACCCAGACTGGGGCGCAGTGGCCGCTCCCTCCACCGCAGCCTCGACCTGCTGGGCTCTGGCGATCCTTCCGCCTCCGCCTTCCAAGTAGCTGGAATTACAGGCATGCGCTACCACGCCCGGCTGATTTTTTGATTTATTGTAGAAATGAGGTCTCGCTGCCCAGGCGGGTCTCGAAACCACGGGCTCAGGCAATCCACTCATCTCAGCCTCCCAAAGGCGCGGGATTACAGGCTGAGCCACTGAGCCCGGCCCTTTGCTTATTTTTAACTGGATTGTCATTTTATCGTTGCATCTTTAGATATTCTAGACAGAATATCAGACATATGAATTACATATATATTCCCAACTACGCTTACTTTTGAGTTGGAGTCTCACTGTGTCGCCCAGGCTGGAGTGCAGTGGCATGCTCACAGCTACTGTAGCCTCGACCTTCTGGGCTCAGGTGATCCTTCCACCTCAGCCTTCCAAGTAGCAGGAACTACAGGCGTGCACTACCACACTTGGCTAATTTACTCATATTTTTTAAATAAGGTACTTTAAAAGTTTCTTGGGTTTTAAATTATAGCATGCTAAATACATATTAGTTGTGCTATTTTTCCCTTTCTCCTATATATTCATACCTGAAAATAAGAACTTTGAATATTTTGATAGAAACTTTTTTGAGTCGGAGTCTCATTCTGTTGCCCCAGGTTGGCTTGCAGTGGCATAATCACAGACACCACAGCCTCAACCTGCTATGCTCAGGCGATCCTTCTGCCTCAGTCTTCCAAGTAGCTGGGACTACAGGTGCATACCGCCATATCTGGTTAATTTTTTGATTTATTGTAGAGACAATCTTGCCATGGTTGCCCAGGCTGGTCTCAAACTCCTGAGCTTACCGTGGCTTCCCAAAGTGCAGGGATTATAGGCATAAGCCACTGTGCCCAGTGACAGAAACTTTTAAAAGTCACAGAACAATCATTCTTTTTCCCATTGTGCAATTTCAGCTGGCACAGTAATTTTAACTATCCTACACTGCCATGCAAAGCAAAGCAACCTATCAGCTAAAATATTTATATTTCTCTCTCTCTCATATATATATATGCAGAAATGAAGGAAATTCATTTTAATAATATACAGATTCCATTCAAATGAACTAAACAAATGGACTCAGAACATATTTACATGGGAATTTAATTGTAATTATTATTATCCTAAACCATCATCTAAAGGTCCTTTTTGCTATATAGAAGTATTTGTTGTTATTAAACATCTGTGTAATTAAGCATTTATAATATTAAAAACACCTTAAAAATGATTTGTCCTGTAGCGTATTTATTTACTTGTTTATTTAGAGTTGGAGTCTCATTCTGTTGCCTAGGCTGGAGTGCAGTGGCATGGTTATGGCTCACCACAGCCTTGACCTCATGGACTCAGGAGATCCTTATGCCTCAGTTTCCCAAATATCAGGAACTACAGGTATATGCCACCACACCTGGCTAAGTTTATTTGTTTTTGTAGAGATGAGGTCTCCCTATGTTGCCCAGGCTGGTCTTGAACTCCTAGCCTCAAGTGATCTCCCTGCTTCAGTCTCCCAAAGTGCTGGGATTACAGGCATGAGCCACTGTACCCGGCCTTGTTTATTTATTAATAAAATTAGTTCAAATGGGAGCAGAGGTACCAATAAGAGTGAAACAGTAGAAACAAAGCAAGAGCAAAGGTGTTTTGCATCAAGTCTTTATTACGAAAAGTCACTTTTTTAAGATATCACTTTATTTTACATAATTTATGTTATGTTCTTATAAAATGTCCCCTATTTGACATTAGCAGTATCACCAAATGTATTACTTAAGCACATATACAAACCATGTACTATATCAGAAAATGAAGTATTTAAAAAATTTACTTACTCTTAGCCACTCTACCATGTTTTCTTCAATTTCACTATCAGCAGAGATGTCTAATATGAGTCGTCGTGTCAAATGGGCTTTGTGATACCTCATAAAGACATCTTTGTTCTGTACATATTTAAGTACCAAGAGCTGTATGAAAAACAAAGTTACTTTAATTTCTTATGTACTCTTAGCCATTTCTCCCCTTTAGATCTTTCTACATTCCTCAATTGTCAAAACTCAGAAATTTATATAAGCATATACAAAGGCCTACTAAATTACCTATCTCTGAAAATTAACCAGCACTGATCCGCTACTTTAAAAGTCAGCAAATTTGAGACTACAGCCACATAAACTTGTAGTATCTACCAATAGCTGTTTTTAAGATTTTATAAGAGGTGTGGCAATACTTGACAGGACAAATAAATCAATTGTTTTCCCCAATAAATCAAATAAATCAAAAACAATAAATCAAATAATCAATCAAATAAATCAAAACAATAAAATCAATTGTTTTCCCCAATTTCTTCCCTACATATCCTCTCCACCCTTTCTTGACATGAGTCACCCTCTGGGCTTTTCTGTCTATACCTGCCCTGTGTCCTACTTCTTATCTGTATTCCTGGGCTAATATCACTACACTAAGGACCAGGTGACAAGATGAGATTAACTACTGCATCTACCCTCACTCATCTCCAGCTCCCTATCGTGGCTCTCACAAAAGGAGTGAAAAGCTCGCATCTCTCAACCCATCATTCCAAATGAATCGGCTCCCCTTTCCTTAATCCTGTAATTGGAGCTACAATTTTAATTGTCTAAAAATAGTCAAGAAAGGGGAAGATTTAAATGGTATACCCTTTCAGGCAGCTCTAGAATCACAACATTCAGAGAGAAGAGTAACTCCCCCTGCTGAGGTTTTAGACTGTAAGCCTTCTTAACACTAGTTGCTTATAGACAACACATTTCAAGTTGGTGCTATCACAGCAAGTCCTATAAGCAAAAGACAAATGCAAAGTAAGGTCATCTAAAAAGTGATATACAAAAACTCATGTACCACTTCTTTCAGCTTTGCTTCAATCTCTTCAGAGGTTAGTTTTTTGCTTAATGGTGTTTTTCTCAGCAACATGTCACAGTAATTGGCAAGCAGCTCAGGGCATTTTGATTCAGGCTGAGTTTTTAATCCCACCCTAGAAAACAAATTAAAAGCAGGTGATGACAAAAATGATTGCTATTAACAAATATTTATTTTCTAAAGCCAATTTTTCACCAGTGAATTTCTTATGTTGAATAATCCAGGAATCAAGGCTGGGATTAGGGTGAGCGTGAGTAAGATGTCTAGGGTGCCTGATTTAAAGAGGCACTCACCCTCAGGCCAACTCTACGCTTGAGAGGACCGTGTCACTCACTTCCTTAACAGTTACACCCTAGGGGCTTGCTTGCCTCACCCTAGTGCTAGCCTTGGCAATGATCTTGAAAATATCTTACTCAGATACCTGCTGAAATTCTTTGGGAACACTATGTAAATCTTCTTGGAGGGTTATAAGTTAACACTTAAAACTTGTCATTATTAATATAAGATAAAAATGTTATTTCACGCTTTGAAATGTATACAATGTAACCTACAGTTCATAATGATGTGATATCTCCTATCATCCATTTTTTAAAAGTGTAAACAGGCCAGGCTCAGCCTATAATCTCAGCACTTTGGGAGGCCGGGGGTGGGGGGACTGCCTGAGCCCAGGGGTTCGAGACCAGTCTGGGCAACTTGGTGAGACCTCGTCTCTACAATAAATCACAAAAACTAGCCGGGCGTGGTGGTGTGCGTCTATATTTCCAGCTACTTGGAAGGCTGAGGCAAAAGGACTGCCTGAGCCCAGCAGGTCGAGGCTGCGGTGGCTGTGAGCATGCCAACTACATTCCAGCCTGGGTGACAAAGAGTGAAACTCCAACTTAAAAAAAAAAAAAAGTACAATCAAAACCTTCCCAAGTCGGGCTCGGTGGCTCAGCCTGTAATCCCGTGCCTTTGGGAGGCTGAGGTGAGTGGACTGTCTGAGCCCGCAGGTTCGAGACCCGCCTGGGCAGGCGAGACCTCATCTCTACAATAAATCAAACAATTAGCCGGACGTGGTAGCGTGCGCCTGTAATTCTGGCTACTCCGAAGGCTGAGGCAGAAGGATTGCTGAAGCCCAGCAGGTCGAAGCTACAGTGGAGGGAGCGGCCACTGCACTCCGGTCTGGGCGACAGAGTGAGACTCCAACTCAAAAAAAACCCCAAAAAAACAAACACTTCCCAAACAACGAAGAACTTATATTTTCATTTCACTTTCCTGACAGAATTTTAAAATCATTGCACTGTGCATATATACATATACATACAAATATTATATAGAACATATAATATATATATATTATTAGAGACACACACACACATTTTTTTTGAGTTGGAGTCTCACTCTGTCGCCCAGAGTGAAGTACAGTGGCCACTCCCAGCCACTGCAGTCTCGACCTCCTGGGCTCCGGCGATCCTTCCGCCTCAGCCTTTCAAGCAGCCGGAACTACAGGCGCGCGCTCCCATGCCTGGCTAATTTTTTGATTTATTGTAGAGATGAGGTCTCGCCAAGTTGCCCAGGCAGGTCTCGAACACGCGGGCTCAGGCAATCCACTCACCTCAGCCTCCCAAAGAGCAGGATTATAGGCTGAGCCACTGAGTTCGGTTATATTATTAGAGAAAAGTTCTCACTCTGCCAATCAGGCTGGGGTGCGTGGTGCAATGACAGCTCACTATAGCCTCAAACTCCTGGGCTCAAGCAATCCTCCCATTTTAGCTTTCCAAGTAGCTGGGACTACAGGCACATGCAACTATGCTAGGTAATTTTAAAATTTTTTATAGACAGGATCTCATTATGTTGCCTAGGATGAGCTCTAACTCCAGGTCTCAGGTGATCCTCCTACCTCGGGCTCCCAAAGTACTGGGACTACAGACATCAACCATCACACCCGACCCACTTTATTTTTTAATAATTGAGACAGGGTCTTTTTATGTTGCCTGGGCTGAACTTCTCGCAAGTAGTTGGGACTATATGCACATGCCACCGTGCCCAGTAGTATATTGTAGTTCCCTGCTTCGAAGTCTTACGTTATTTATTTATTCATTTACTCGAAATTGGAGTCTCACTCTGTTGCCCAGGCTGGAGTGCAGTGGCACAGTTGCAGCTCACTACAGCTTGGCTTCCAGAGCTCAAGCAATCCTCCTGCCTCACCTTCCCACATAGCTAGGACTACAGGCACACACACCACCACACCCAGCTAAATTTTTTTTGGTAGAGATGGGGTGTCGTTATGTTTCCCAGGCTGTATTTTTATCCTACTCCTCTAAAAGCCTGTGAAAATAAATTTAAATTCAACATTTCAAAATTTCTTGTGTTTATAAAATTCAAGTGATATTTTCCAAAGATTAAGATACCCAAATTATTAACAGTATGCACATCATCAAAATAACATAATTATATTGTGTGTACGTATATGTAAAATATATGCACATGTAAAATTTTACTGGATGTGTCCACTCAGTGTGGGGATAAAACCTTTTTTCCTCCTAATTATGAATCCAGGAATCAGCATTGATTCTGTTTCTACTTTTTCTTTTCTTTCTTTCTTTTTTTTTTTTTTTGAGTTGGAGTCTCACTCTGTCGCCCAG